CTCCCTCCCCCATTCTACAAACAGAAGTTGAGTTTAAAGTCTGAATGTACTAGCTGATATGGGTAGTGAAGGTGGCTGTAAAATTAAAGCCGCCTTCAGTATAATCCCTTAAGGCAATTTTCTTCTTAGCAATGCTCCACCCCAAGAGTTTCTGTGTTCACTGTACAGGGAAATGTCTGGTGAGACTATCCAAAGGTTACTTAATTGATGTGATTTGATAGGTGACTCCATAATAGGGCCAAGGAATTGCCATTCTGAAATTTGACCTTTGGTGTACAGTTAGAAAATTAGCATCCAAAAAAAAATGTCATACAGGAGTGCCAAATGCCTTAAGAGAGATGAATGGGAATAATTTAAATTGGCAAAGTGATTCAAAACAAATTTCTTGTGCTGTTCTTAAATGTTACATGTAAGAGGCAGAAAAATATCCTTGAAAAATAGAAGTTTAAGTAATTTAAGTAATTGTAGGCAATTCTATCTTGATTATGGCTGTATGCTATTATAGTATTCTTGGTAACGTCATAGGAAGATGAGGAAGAGGAAAGATGCATTAGTATTTTTCAGTAAATATACACAAATATAAACTGTTACATTATATTAATGTATTGTTCCTGGCTGCAGGAACATGTGAGGTTTCCATTTTTTTCAGCCTTGCATTTGCTGGGAAAAAAACCAAGCGCATCTTAGTTTGCTACCTCTTAAATAGCGGGATAAAAATCTAATAGTAATTTTGGGGCATCTAAAAGGTCTGCTTTGGAAACTGTATATGCTCTCAACATCAGGCAGGAATAGGATTTTTTAAAAATGTTATATTTCCTGCAGGAAGCCTAGGTCTGGCCCTTTATATTAATATAGGAAATACCAAATAAACTTGTGATGAGATAAATCAATATTATCCCCATGGAAAGGAACTTGGATTGAGTTCTGGGCTGCTTCCTTAATAAATTTAGCCTATAAGTTTTTATCTGAAAACGAATATGCTTATTTCCCCCAATGAGGGAGGGGCAGGTATGCATGTTTATTTTCACTTTTGGTCTCCTTATGAGTCAGACTGCTGACATGAGGCCTATTCCATTAAGTCGTCTTTGAAGAAGGGAGCACAGTAAGTCCACTTGTATCATATGAGTAAAGAAGTGGTTGTGGTGGATTGCAGAAGAGAGCAAGGTTCTCAGTAAGGAGGGGGCGCATTCCAAGAAGGGGAGAGATACGAGACAACACAGTCAGCAGCTGGAGCGTGGGAAGCATAAGAGGTTCAGGACATCCACTCCATAGAATCTCCCAGGGTATATCCCCTAGTTGCAGTAGTACAGATTTAGTCTGGCAAGATTTTGTCTATATGGTGTAAACAATAAAAGAACTGAACTCGGATTGTTTCCCTGTTGTTGTTGTTGGGCTGGGCTGGGCTGGGCTTCACAGTGGTAGACTCCATCGTGGCTATTTAAAGTTAATAAAAATGGCAAGGAACTTACATATTTTTCCTTTGTACTGGGCGACCATGGTTTGAATGATCAGGACAGATATTCAGTCTCCTCACCTTTTGAAGTGCCACAGCACTTCAGGAGACACAAAAGTGGCCTCCACTCCCATTGTTGCAAATTCCACAGTGTAGAATATTGGCTCAGAAGTGGCACTGTATAAAGGGGTCATGTATGTAGGAAACTATATTTAAATACAAGCCCTCAACCTTGTCTGCTTAACATGTAGAAAAATATTCTGCTTATATCTGAAGAAACCAAAGAGTTGCCAAGTGGTCACTTATCAGCTTTAGTTGTCCTTAGAAAGACTGGAGTCTGTTTCCTTTTACTGTTCTGTGTCTATGTGTGACATAAACTTTTAGAATGTTATAATTTACTCCTGAGGCAGAACTCTTCTTGGAATATCCAGGATAACTGAATTCTTGGTAAAGGAAGTAGTGGCAAAAGGAAAGAGCAGATAGTTTTCCCAGGCTCCGTGCTGATTGAGGGTTGCATTAAGTTCAACAAGTTTAGACTACAGGTATTGGTTAGGAGAATCTAAATTGATATTATCACTGAGCAGAACATCTGACAGTCAAATACTTAAGGATCTTTATAGATCTGATCATAAGTGCTAATTTTCTGTTGCTGCATTGACTACCTCGAGATATTAGAGCAGATGAGAATTATGTAAGACTTCTCTTTTGATGTAATTGGAATGCAAACTAACTGCTGTCAAGTCTCTGTCAATTTGTCTTGCTAGAGATGCTCATTGTATGAATTCAAATTCATTGTGTCTGTAACGGAACATTTGCATCCTCTCCCCTTTTGCCCTCTTTCTGCAGATGTACAGAATCCTCCAAATTAGATTTTACCAGTCTGGAGCGGATTACCAAGGAGAGGGGAGGGGAGATTACCCTATCCTACTGATAGGATGGAAATTGTCTCTTGTCATAAATGTCCTGTTCAGGTACTTTTATGTTAAAGTGTTGTACTTGTGTAATAAAAATCATAGGCATATTCTTTCATTTCTAGAAAATGATAAAGGACAGTACATCTCTCCTTTCCATGACATTCCAATATATGCAGATGCTGACAAGGTAATGTACGTGGTTTCTTTTGTCCCTTCACCTGTTCCTGTGAACTGTATGATTAGATACCAGGTATGTAATTAGTTCATCTTAAAGGGATTGTTTGTATATATTTTAATAGTTACAATCTAACCTTTGTGTTTACCTTACAAGGTAACTGCTGTAGTTTTATTGATCATTCGTTGCTTAAGTAGGAAGAGTCTGAATTAAGTGTCCTGGTGTAGAGTAAAAGAAATACTGAAGCAGAGTTGTAGAAGAAAAGCTTTATTAAACTTTTTCTGCTGGTTATAGTTATTTTAGTCTTAGACTGACGTTTGCTCGTTTTACTGTAGATACTGCTTCCAAAGGAGAGAAATATGGGACCATCCTATCTTCCTACACTACTTGAAATAGACTAAAGGAACCGTTTCCTTGCTTTTATGTCCAGCTTCTACTGCATAATACAGTCAAAATGAAACCTTTGTTGCTGATTTTTTTAAAGCTGTATTTGATTTCCAAAATAGGTGTCTTAAGCGTTTGCATTCTGTATTGTGAGAAATTGTTTTTCAAACCTATATAAGAAGGTTCCCCTACTATTTGGAATTTTCTCATTCCGATAACCAGTCTATTTTATTTATATGATTTATATTTATATCTTACACTTAGGCAGCGTACCAAGATTAAAAACACACACTCAAAAAATCCCACAACTTGTCACTCCTGGCACCCAAGGATAAGTAATAACCCCAATTGACTGATTAAGTGCCATCAAGTTCTTGTTGACTCTTATAACCCGATTTAGCACATCATCAACAGCAGAGCTTACCTAACCTCCGTCCAACCTGAGAAAACAGCCACATCCCCAGTGCCATATGAAAGGCTAACAGCGTTTGGCCATCTCTGGGGGGATGCTCTTCCATAGTTTAAGAACATGTGTACAGTTGATTCAGATGTAGTAATCTCCAGTAAACTGCATTGGGTAGGGCTCAGTTTTCATCTTTCACCTCCCTGGTTTGCCATATATTGTGCTTTTTCTAATCCAGTTTTTAGTACAACTCAACTGGGAAATCGTTATAATTAGCTTACAAAATAGAATAGTGCTTGAATATAGTGTCTTTGCCCATCAGACTAAGAGCATTTAGTTTAGAATGGGCTGGTGTCAAGCTTGTAGCCAGGAGGGCTTTGGGGGGCTACCCCTAATTTTCTTTCTCCCCATCTTGTTTGGGTTAAACGGTGTTCCTGGCTGGCTCAAACAAGCAGGACCTCAATCCTTTGGCCACTGTGTTAGACTTCTAGACTAGCTACAGGCCTGATTAATGCTTCCTTGACATTTTATATACCTTTTATTCCAGCTGTAAGAAGAGCTTAGCAAATAAGCCTGAGACATGTTTTACTGGTTTAATGAAAGTGTCAAGTTAAATAAAATATTTGGGCTTAGAACAAAAGAGAAATGTTCTTGTGAGCACCTGGCCTCCAGGTTAGGAAGCAGTACTGCATGAAGAAGCAGTTGGGATAATCAGGATTTATCTTTATACAGTATTTCAAAAATGTAAATGCCTTGAATGAACTTATTGCCACATCCTTTGTCAGCAGCCAGTTTAATTTACAAAGTAAATAGAAAAAAGATGTGAGAAAAGAACAAATGTGTTTGGAAGACTGAGAATCTGTATGCATTGACAGCGGCTTAAAGCAAAGGCAAGTTCTGAGGATAAACAGAAATAGCCAGATTTAAAGCTATGACTGCAAGGCCATAACCCCAATAGAGCTTATATAGCAGTAGTAAAATTTTGATTGCATGTCAGAGCTAGGTGAAATGCAGAAATAAGAAGTAGAATTCAAAATTCTACCTAGAACAAAAGCAGACATTATTCATTCTAGCCTCTAGCACTTTCTGTTATTTGTATTTGTTTTTATAAACTTAATAGGATTGTAAAGGATCACTTACTCTGGTATTGGAGATATTCTAAATGTATTCCATTACTGTGTTCCAAATACATATTACTTCACTGAACCGTGTAAAAATGATCTGAAATTTTGTATAAACAGATGTTTGATAGCTTTTGTTTCTTGTGAGATTTTGCTGAAATTACTCATTTCCTGACTTGCAGAATTGGTTATATTCTGCTCAATGGTTTCTTGAAGTATTCCTGTCAAGCAGTTGTTTGATTGCAAGAATGGAGTGTTTGTCATAAATAGACAGACCTAGACAGTTAAAAGGTCTTTTGAATAACTTAATCTTTGAAGGAGAAAAATTTGGTAGCTAAGCTGTGCTGTGTTAAACTAGAGTTGATCTGTCCTCTTGCCCTGAAGCTCATGGAAGACCAGGATTAGACATGAGGGCTCACTGCTTAAATCCTGTTAACAGGCAGTGAATAATCCAAGGATAAGCTGATAAGTAGGAATTGGTGCCAGATGTACATAGCCCATATATTTCTGTATTCTAGTAATTATTGTATTATTACCCTCTCAAGTGTATAAAAGGTGTTTGCTGTTGCTTTACTAATTGGGAAAACTTTGGGTCAGTAAAGTTTTCAGTCTGAATGGCCAGAGAGTCATCTCTCTTAATAAAATGAATGCCAGGAGAAAATTTCTTCTACATTTTCTTTTTCTTAAAAGTCAAGGGTTTCTTCCCATTCTAAGTAAGGAAGAATGAGCACCTCCTTCCACCTGAAAGTTATAGTAGGGCCAGTTTATATTTGGATAATAATTACACTCTGGGCAAAAAGTTTTTCAAAGATGCTTACTGAATTTAAAGAAGAGATTCCCGGCTTTCCAGCTTACTGTTGAGAAGGTTTGTCCTACAGAGAAAAACATGTGGGCAGAGAAGGAGAAAAAGCATAGTTATAATAGTCATGGGAATGGAAACATTTCAGGGAGCTCCATGGGATGATAGTCGCTGGGTGACAATTCAGGAAGAACTACAGATAGCAGAGTTCTCTTCAGGGGGCCTTATTTATTTAGTATATACAAGAACAAAAGACTGAGGAAAAAGAACAAAAACACAAATCAGCCCATCAGAAGAAAAGGATGAAAGTTTTATTTGGCCAAGACACATTTCAAACATTTATGCTGTCATGAAGGCAACACAAAGCCTTCTCCTCTCTATTTGTAGGCTGTGGAGTCAGCCAGGCTGAAATTTTGACCTCCTTTTTTGTACTTTGGGGATTGGTGGAGAATTTATCCTTTATCACCCCCATCCTCCATTGAAATTATTTTCCCTTTATTGGAGTACACAGCCTGCAGATATGTTGCCAGAAGATTATATATTATCATTTACACCAAGCAGATTGCCCTTTTCTGTGCTAAGGGGGTGATCCTCAAAATATGTAGTTTCCTTTCCCTGAGAGCACTCTCCATATTCTTAGCTGATATTTTTATGAACTGTATAGGGAATAGCTCTGCCTCTGCCTGGTGAAAGAAGAGATTAGTTGGGACAAAAGAACCAGGGTAGAATTAATTGGAACTAGAAACAGTATACAGGTAGTCCTCATTTAGTGACTGCCTCAGTTAGTGACTTTGCAGTTACAACAGTGATGAAAACATTATGACCAGTCCTCACATTTACAACCTTCACAGGTCTGCAAAGCAAAGGAAAGCTGAAGTAAGATCATAAGCACAGTCGCAGTTTCACTTAGCGACTGCTTTGCTTAGCGACCAAGTTGCCAGTCCCAATTGTGGTCGCTAAACAAAGACTACCTGTATGTAGGGATTTTTGTCTTGTGATTACTCCCTCTGTCCTTAGATTTTGCAAAAACAGTGGGTGTCTGACCTTTTTAAAGTTTAAGATAAAATTTGTTCCACTGTTGATGTAAACACTGTGATACTTAACATGTTTTTTTGGAAGAAAGCAAAACACATTGTAATGGGTGTGCATTTTTATTATCTTGCAACTATAATGACATTCAAGTGCCCTCCTCCCCCCGGAAAATGCTTGGATCTGTGTAGAACCATCTTTTTTATTCTAAGATAGGATCATCCAACTCCCAGCATTTATACATCAACTTATGCAAACACAATATGTAAATTCCACTTCTACATTATTGTTCTTGGTGAGTGGGAAGGAGTAACTGTTTTCATTTATTTACATCAGAAACAGTATCTGCTGTACTAAAAAATATTACATGTGTGTATTCATATATATAGAGAGAGAGTATTATACTTTATATATACTTTACTGAATTTATGTTCTTTTCAGTCTGTCTTCAACATGGTTGTGGAAATACCTCGATGGACCAATGCTAAGATGGAGGTAATATAACTAGAGAGCTATAATCTATGGCTTAATTAACTACATTAAAATAGTTTATTAGATTTCAAATTGCCTGGTATTAATAGTTTATAATCTAGTAAGTGTTCTAAAGCTAAAGTCCTATGCACGCTTACTTGGGAGCATGTCCCACTGACTCTTATGATTCCTATCAATCTGGATAGTTATCTTGCTATAGAAATATTAAGTAAAACACCTACAAAGAAAGTTCCATTTTTTTTTCCTTAAATGATTTCTAAATCTGAGTACTAAACTAAGTCAATTCTATTTTAGATTGCAACTAAAGATCCTCTAAACCCAATTAAACAAGATGTGAAGAAGGGAAAGCTACGTTACGTTGCTAATGTATTTCCCCATAAGGGCTATATCTGGAATTACGGTGCTATTCCACAGGTACTCTAATTTACCCTATCTCTTTTATGAATCCCAGTACCAAGCATAGACAACTGTGGGCAAACTCTCTGGAGGAAGAAGAAAAACACATTAGATGGTAAACAAGCAAGCTGCCTGTGTTACAACAGAAAGAATAGCTTTATCCAACCATAACAAGCCTTAAAACGATATAGAGCTCTCATAAAGCCAGCATAAATTAAATGAATTAAACCAATACTGATGGTAATAATAGGAAAGCCGCAAATCAATTTTGATTTTTTATTTGTTCAAGCTATGCTGTCTTTAAATTTCTCCATGGAAACTGTGTCAAACTCTTAACATTTATTGCTGTAGCATGATTGTTGTATTTTAGTTGTAATAAATCAAGTCCATTAAATGAATAGAGTTAAACTACGTTAAATCCTCCATTTAACAGACTAATAGAGGGAAGCAGAACATCTATTAAATCCAAATGGGATTTAACACATAAATATTTGACATATTTTAAGTAAGATCTTACGCATGCACAGAGTGGTACAATGGGTGGATAGATTTTTTTTCCATTATATCCAAAGTCCACTAAACTGAGATCCATTAAAATGGAGTGTTAGTATTGTCTCTTCTATCCATTTCCTTCTGACTGATCTTTCTGATCTTCTGTTTCCTATGGGAAAAGAGAATGACCCTTCTCTTTTCCTTTTTACCTGTTAACTTTGAGATGATTACCGTTAACCTCTTTCTTAGATTTCAAAGCTGTCTTGATAAGAAGTTCGCGTTTCAGTACAAAACAGCACACAGCTTGCTTTGTGTTTGTTTCATTAAGGATTTCTTCTGATATCCCTTTTATTTTCCAAGCTGGTAGGCCTGTGGCTCCAGATGGCTAGCACGTGCTGTTGTATGAAATACAAATCGTTCCAGAGCTGTCTCTGCCAGGATTCTCATAACACTATTTCTGACCTGGAAGGAAGTTAGGTCAATTTCTATTAAAGCAGTCCTGAACTGCAGCTTCCTTCTAACAAGTGTTCTCACTGCAATCACATTGGGTGTGAGATAACCTCCTTACACTGAAGTATCTCAGACTTCTTGTGAAAATGTGTTGGATTCTGTATCAAATTGATTTGCATTTTGAATGTTCAGAAACAATACTTGCATTGTCCTATCTAGAAAATTCATTGTTTCATGTATTCGTAAAAGCATGGGTTTCCCAAAACAGTTATTATGAATCCAGCTTTCAGTTTCGAGTTCATTTATAGAATATGTAAAGAGGAAAATATTTTAATAGGGTACAGTTGTAAACCTTAATTGAGCAGCCCTGTGCTGAGATGACAGGCAGGGTATGTAGCAAGCACTTAAAGGAAATGGTGTTTATTTTGTAGACATGGGAAAATCCATTGCATAAAGATGAAAATACCAGCTGTTGTGGAGATAATGATCCAATCGATGTTTGTGAAATTGGGAACAAGGTAACAAACCACTTTTCAGGTGGAGATCTGGTGTTTGCTAACCGTCCTGGAAATATTTCCAGTATGGGACTCTGAAGGTATTTTATAATTGGGCTGTTCATCTAGCTATCACTATAAATGTGCAGAAGGCACTTAAGCTAAGCATCATGAGAAGGTTACATTGTATTTAAAAGCAGCAGTGGCTGATTTTTACATGTAGAACAGAGGTACAGGTAGTCCTTGGTTAAAGACCACTCATTCAGCAACCATTCAGAGTTACATTGGCACTGAACAAGTGGTGGTTATGACCAGTTCTCAACGTTTTGTCTGTGTCAGCACCCCCAAAGTCACATGATTGCGATCTGGGTGCTTGGTAACTGGCTCGCACTTGTGACATTTGCAGCATCCCATAGTCATGTAATTGCCATTTGCAACCTTCCCTGCCAACTTCCCATAAGTGAAGTCAATGGGGAAGCTGGCAGGGAAGGTTGCAGGTTGCTCGGTTAAGTCTCCTCCACCCATGTGCCCTCCCCGAGCCTTGCTGCTCTTGCACTGTGCCTCCCCAGCCACTTGCACACCCTTCCCCACCCAGCAGCCACCCCAAGCCCTGGCACATTTGTACTGTGCCTCCCCCACCACTTGTACACCCTCCTTTACATAGCAGCAGCCACCCCAAACCCCGCTGCACTCATGCCATGCTTCCCCGCCCCCTGCACACTCCCTTGCTCCCTCTCCCACCCAACGGCAGCCACTCGTCTGCCTGCTGGCCTGCTTGCAAGCCACCTGGGACTTGAAATTCTACCAGCCTCCCCACTGACTTTAGTTGTTGGAAGCCGGCAAGAAGTTGCAAGGAGGTGCTCACTTAATGACCCAAGATCCTTGCTTAATTATGGCAATGGGGACTGCAGGGATTGCCATCACTAAGTGATCTGGTCACATGACATCGCGCTTTATGACCACATTGCTTAGCGATGGAAATTCTGGTCCCAATTGTCAAGGACTACCTGTATAGGGAATGTTTAATGAACTGTAAAGTTTATGATAAGCTGTGTATTAGCTTAATGCAGTTTTAACATACTTTTCCTAACAAATTCTACTGGAGGAAGAGGGAATTATGTTTCAAAATGACAAGGGTAGTGTTGTGGAACAATAAGGACTTATCCATCCTGTGTGCCATAAGATCAGTGGTTCTTAAACTGTTTGACCCAATTACCCCTTTTCTGGTCTCGAATAATGTCATTACTCCCCCTAAAAACAAAAAACAGAACAGTTTTACACAAGTGCTTGGCAGCCACAATCCCAAACCGCATCCTTGACTCACAAAAAAACAATTACAAATTGCTCCATTGCCCCCAGTGTATGCCGAAATTGCCCCATTTTAAGAACCACTGCTTTAGAAGGTATCAGAGAGCATGGCAGATGCAGAAAGTGCCGGTCTTTGCTGTTCAACACAGCATTCTATATCTTGATGCAGCTAAAGCATTAGAGCTAAAACATCATTAAATGCAAACATGCCAATTTCTATGCAGAGCCTTAATATTTAAATATTATGTGGAAAGCAAATCTGGTAGGTGCCCAGACATGGTTATTATATAGTATTGCTTTAAAGCTATTACTGTCAAGGCATCTCTTGAAAGAATGTAATACGCAATGAAAAGTACCATCATAGCTGAAAATAATCAAGTAAGGCTTTCCTTTTCACTTGAGATCAGCCTGTCTACAGAAATTGTTGTCCAAAATCAAGCCTCTGAACAGGCTACTGATTTGATAAAACATGAGCTCTGGAATTCTTTCCACAAAGTTCAGGTTGGTGAGCAGTCAGGCAGAAGAGGAGATGTTGTTACTTCACCTGTTCTGGCTTAGTAGGAACTAGCTGTGCAGTCCTGGATCATAGCTACTGAGTAAATTTATTCAAACAGGTGTGCAGTAGAGGAGAAGTAATTCAAGTAAAAATTCTGGGTACGCTGGCATTGATTGATGAGGGTGAAACCGACTGGAAGATCATTGCAATCAATATAAAGGATCCTGAAGCTGCTAATTTGAATAGTAAGTAGCTTTGAAGTGATTTGTGCCTTATCTTTTTCATTTTTGAAATCTCACGTGTGCAAAGGGTCTAACTGATACAGAGTAGGGCTGGTGTTATATTCTTCGTGCCATTCCATTGTTAATAAACCTACAGCAGAACATTGCTCTTGTTATGATGGAGTGAAAATGCAAACCCAAACCTGACCCACAGGAATTGCCATCCAGCTCCTTCCATCTCTTTCTTGGCACCAGCCCATTTATTCAGTGCCACCCTCTTATCCATTCTCAGAACTCACCAGCTGTTGGATGGAGACAAGAAACTCGATACTCAGAACGGCTACATTTCAGAGGACAAAAGGTTTTTCTTTCTCAGTGCTGATCAGTGAACCTTCCTTCCTTGAGTGCTGAGGAGTAAACCTTCCCTCTTGAAGAAAGTTGGAGATTCCTTTCTCCATGCGCAGGGAGGCAAAGCATAATTGCTACTGTGTGCATGCAGTCTTTGTCTACAGGGAAAAAAGCAGCTTGGTGGGTAGGAAGTTGACAAAGATGGTAAAGCTTAGAAAGAGGGGGAAGGACTTCCATCTGTGGTCCTTCGCAAGACATCATCCAGCTTGCCAGGGTTGTGAAGGGGCCAAGCCAGTCCTTGAACTTAATGTGATACCATTTAGAAGCCAAAGAATAGTAGGAGGTGGGTAGATGATCCTAAACAAGGCCAAAGGTGCAAAAGCCTCCATGCTCCCAGATTATATAAATAGCTATCGTGCAAAGTTGAACTTCGTTTTTGAGTAATCATCCATTGATCTGATTTCCCTTTGGCCTCCTACTCTCAGATTTGAAATATCCCTAATTAGTGCAATAGATAAACAGTAGAGTCCTTGATCGAACATAGGCTGATTTTTACAGTCAAGCTTTCCTCTGCGAGGCATTCCACTGGGAAAGCTAAGAATAAAATGTATTGATACACTCAAGCAAAACTTAGTAGGTTCTGAATATATGCCTTTTAAAAATTTAAGATATTGATGATGTCAGGAGAATTAAGCCTGGATACCTGGAAGCAACTGTGGACTGGTTTAGAAGATACAAAGTACCTGACGGGAAGCCAGAAAACCAGTTTGCATTCAATGGAGAATTTAAAGATAAGGTATATATACATTTTATCTAATACTTGCCACTGTTTGAAGCTGCTTACCCTTTTCCTATTAATGCAAACAGTATCAAAAGGATATGAAAGTATGTCTGCAGCCATTTTTGTTCAGAAATGACTGCCTCACCACATTCAGAAATCGTGCTTAACTACAGAGGATCTGCTGACCGTACACACAAGAAAGAAGTAAAGAGGTGATTTGTTTTCTCCAAATTAACTAGCCAGAGATGCTTAATTACACTGTTAATGTGCTCATCCAAAACCCCATAGTGCAGTGGATAAAATTTATGCATGTGCATATATATCTACAGAAAAATATTGCGGTAATCACAGCATATTGTTCTATCAGGCTGTTGAGAAGAGACTTTGAATTTGTTTCCCTTTTTAAATCTTAGGACTTTGCAACTGATGTTATTAAAAGCACCCATAACTACTGGAAAGCTCTGGTAATTAAAAAAACAGATGCAGGAGAGATTTCTTGGTAAGTTATTATACTACTACTTTCAGAAGTGCCTTGGAGAGATGAACCAAATGAGAATCTTAGTCTTAAACTGTGTGTGGCATGGATGCTTTAATATTTTTATTAAATTTAAACCCCATTTTGTCCCTAAATACATCCATTTTAAAGGTATGTTTCACAATTTTCATATTACTTAAATGCATTGGAGAAAAACCCAGCTACTTTTGTAACTTCTCTTTTCCAGCACAAATACAACCGTGGCAGATAGTCCTTTCTGTTGCAGTCAAAAGTCTGCAGCAGCCACTGTGACAAAGGTAAGCAGTTCTTACAAGTGTTTGTGCCTTTCCTATCTTGGGACATCTCCCAGGAAAGGCTGAGTATGCTGGGCAAAATAAGAAAGGAAAATACCAGATCAGATTCAGGTTGCCACAACATTCTGCTCCCAGAGAATCCATGGTAGCTGGAGAAAGCCCGCAAGCCAGACCTGAAGTCAGTAGCGCTCTTCCCATTTATCCTTGTAGCAAACAGTAATCATAGCAGTACCATTTCTGATGCTGGAGATCAGCTGTTCTTGTTGTGATTAGTCAATATTGATAGCCTTATCTTCTGCCCCTGTGGTATTGGCTGCAGAATTTAGCACTGTGAGAATCTAGTGTGTATCTTAGTAACTCCGCTTTACAAGTAGTCCTTGCCTAGTGACCACAATTGGGACCGGCAACCCCATCACTAAGCAAAACATTACGTGACTGCGATGGACTTACGATATCAGTTCCCATTTGGTTGTTAAGCAAGTCACCTGCGGTCATTAAGTGAGACATTACATGACCATGTCTTGCAATTCTACTGCCAGGTTCTCCATTGACTTTGCTTGTCGGACTCTGGCTATAAAGCGCGCAAATGGCAATCCCGTGACTACAGGATGCTGCAACAGTCGTAAATGCCTGCTGATTGTGAAGTGCCAGAATCTCAATCACATGATTGCGGTGATGCTGCAACAGTTGTAAATGCAAGGACCGGGCCAGCATAACTTTGAATGGTCACTAAACAGGGCAGTTGTTAAGCAAGAACTACCTGTATTGACGTGACATTGAGCTGTTCTACTGTTCATCTTGCACATCAGTTTCAAAAAATAATCTAAAGAATTTTGTTAAAAGAAATGCAAAATAATGTTTAATTGACTCTACTTAGAATTGGTTTTCAGCAATCTCAGAAAACCTTTTTCTCACTAACATTGGAAATGCAGGCAGAAGAAAAATCACAGCCAACTAATTAACAAGACCCAATTTTTCAAACTTAACGTTTTAGGGCCACTTTCATTCTCCAGCCAGCTTCTTCTAGCTAGCATTCAGCCAATAGAGAGAATTCCATGTTATTAAAATAACATGCAATTTTGGTATTTATTACAAAACCTTTGCTACTGATTTATAAGCAGTTCTGAATTAAGTAATAATTCTGAATGGAATGTCTGTTTCAGCTACCTCCTTCTGGGACCTGTAAGCCACTACCAACTGAAGGTAAATAATCTTAATTTAGAGTGAAATATGAATATACATATTTTTATTTTGGGGGATGGCAAGGCTGGCAATTCCTACTTTGCATATTAACCTGAATGCTGCTCAGTAAATTTGTATCTTATAGTTTGCTGTTTTTTGCAAGACAAATTTAAGGCCAGGAACAGCCAACCATTCAGCTGGGATACTAAATCCGGCTAAATGTAAACCAGAGTAAGAGATTTAATCCATGAGTGCTATGCCAAACAGTATGGGTTTGCAGTATTGGTTTTGATGTCCGCTAAGACACCTTGTTTTCTGTTAAGGAAGAATTATTGTAGGTACTTTAAAGGCTAATAAATAAGTTGAGAAGATTTAGAGGCTGATTTATCATATATGTAACTTTGATTATACTGCAACAGTTTGGCATGACTGCTCTTCTGGACAGTGTATATTTGAAGCTGAATATGCATTCTGTTATGGGCTTTATAGAGCTATTAAGCATTTGGAAAACGGGCTATCAAACCTCCAACATCTAAATCCCTATTAACCTCACAGAAGCTCACCCCATATATTTCCCATCTCCGTTTATGATCCCTTTACTTAAAGATGCTTTCTCTTCGTGTTCTTAATATGCATGGCAAGAGTTTCCCCATACGGTGTCAAAGGAGCGAGATGCAAATTATCAGAAGTTCAGATCACATGCTGGACAAAGGCTGTTTGGCTAAAAGCCTTGTCCACTTCAATAAAAGAGAGTGTGTTTTTGCTCAGGTTTTCCCTGCTTCTGTCATTTTTTAGAGAAACTGCCCCTGAATAATTTACTTCTGTGCAGCTGCTTAAAATGGTTACTATAGCTTGTGCTAACATTTGTCTGTCTTTCCCCATTTCTTTTCCCTCTAACCCAGTGGACAGATGGTTCTTTTGCCAGTGAAACTTGACCAAAAGGCAAAAGTGACAGAAGCTGTTGCCTACTCATCAAGATATTTGTGCAAAATATTTGTGAAGAATTAGCTGAGAATTAAGAATCTTCAACTCCAAGACAATATGTTTATAAACAAGTAAATGGTGACTCATAGCACACTGTATGCGCTAAAAATATGAGATCATATAATGTAAAACACCACCTAAAGTCTTCAAATATACATTGTGAAACTCACTGTTACATTATGTACCAATATTATTTTTTGTTTGCTAGGTACATTTTTGTTGAAACTCATTGAGGCTTATCTCAACATTTCCCAGCGTAAAATTCTAGGTTTTTTTCTATCAGACAGGTTTATCTTAGTAGATGAAGGGGGGAAAAAAACCACACAGATTCTGAATCCTTAGCCACATCCTCATTTCGTGTACTACTTATGCCATTTTAAAGCTTGAGGTACCTTACAAAATCAACAAACCATGGAACTGAGATTAAGTACAATGTAGAACCCGAGAATGTAATTTTCAGGTATTCCCTAGCATTCTCTTCTTCCACTGCAAACTTATATCTAGTGCGAAGACTGGGTCTTTTGTGTTTGAATGAGGAGCTACTGTCTTGACTGCTTGAGTGCTGCTGCTGCCGTTTATGACTACTTCTATTCATTGATGCTGCAGGAGATAAAAAAGAAGGTAACGGTGTGCTAAGATTTAATGACAAACCAATATAAAATGACATAGGTACCAACCGTTATATAAAACAGCGAATGAGCTAAGAATCTGCCTGAGACTGCCCATCTGGTCTCTGTGTTTATTTTAGTGCCACGTTGGCCTCTTCTAATGATATCCATGAATGTCTCTTAACAAATACTACCTTTTTTAGTTAATGAGACCAACACGGGTGGGCAACTGTTGCCTCCGAGATCCCTTTATATGGCTCTGGTATTGTCAGGTTCAGCCCAAAGAACTCCACGAGACAGTATAGGTCTAGTTCTATAGCATTTATTAGCTCTCACCTACAAGACAGAATCTCGCCAGACTGAATCTAAACTTCCCAAGCCAGCAAGCAGACACCGCAAATTCCTTAGGGTGGTGCCAGTCTCATCCTCTTCACCTTCCCATACTCTTTCTGGGGGCTAAGAACATGCTTATCTCCCCGAGCACGGCCTTCACCAAACCATTCCATCACAGGTATACCTCCCACCCCCTACCATAAATGCTCAAAAGTGAAGGCAGTTTTTGAAGTGGAAAACAGAAAAAAATGTAGCCCCTAAAATGGGTATAAGAGGTCCCAGACTCTCATTCCTCAACTCCAAAACATCTTGCATATGCATACCCTTCCCCCCACAGCCTCTAGTGTTGTACCCTCCCACATCCTGGGGAGTGCCTGTTCAATAAGCTGCCACCATGTACTCCTTTTCAGAGAAACTTCATCTTTGTACCTTTTTCTCAAAAGAGTGAAAATCATGTGTTTTTTTCTGCCTTTTTCATAGCTTAGCAGAGCGAGAAAATATGACTTCTGTAAGCTTTACTCAGCAACTTTTCTGCCAACCAGGAATACACATCTACGTACATATGTGTTGCAGGTAGAACAGAATAGGACTCTGGATGAATTTAATCCCTAAAATAATTCAACCAAGGGAACCTAATCCACATCTATTTTTTTTTCTTCAATTCTCCAAACCTGTAGGTTGGAGCAATTATCTTACCTGGTTAAAGCTAGGTCCATCTCATTCTAAGATGGAAAGCAACATGGAGCTTCTCTACATCTTTATAAAGCTGACCTAAGAGGGGAATTTTTCTGCTCCTGATTGAGTCTTCAGAATTTGATTTTCCCAAGCTTTGATGGTCTCTGACCACTATCTAGACCTGTGTTTCTTAACCTTAGCAACTTTAAGATGTGTGGACTTCAACTCCCAGAATTCCTCAGTCCATATATCTTAAAGTTGCCAAGACTGAGAAACACTGATCTAGACTAACATTGATGAACTATTTCCTTTGTAAATTACTGTAGTTCTGCCTATTTGTGATATCTCCCAAATTTTAAGTTTCCATATACTACATCACAGGAGGCATTCTCAAACTTGTGATACAATGCCTGCCTAAAAATGATAAAATGAATTTGTGCAACTCCTCCATGATTTCATTGGGGTTGGGGTCTGTTTGTTTATTTTATTGAAACCATGGGTGAGAGAGAAAGATAGTAAATTTAATAATTTTAATCTATAAAACAAAACTCGACCTTACAGACTATAAAATAAAGCTGTTTCATTAGAAATTAAAAATGGCAATAAACATTGAAACCATATTTTAATGGAAAGGATGAGCTTGCTTTCTTATGTACAATTTCTAACTTCTGTATTTTATTTTGAAGACAGCCATTCTCATTCACCAAAGTAAGGGGGAAAAGAATCAGCTTTTAATTAGTTCTTAAAATGCACCTTGTTAAATACCTACAAAGATCAGAATCATGCAGGCCACTCTATGGAAGTGAAAGTTAGACTTTAAAGAATCTGAGTAGGAAGAGCATTGATGCTTTTGAAGTTCGGTGTTGGAGAAGACTCCTGAAAATACCGTGGACAGTCAAGAAAACAAACCAATGGATCATCAAACAAATCAACCCAGAGTTTTCTGTCAAGGCACAAATGACCAGGCTCAAATTATCCTACTTCATTCACATTATGTGAAGACCCAGCATTCTGGAAAAGGCTCTAATGCTAGGAAAGATGGAAGGAAAGAGAAGACGATGACCAATCGCAAGGGAGATGGACTTGGTTACATGGTGATGAAGTTCCCATTGGAGGACATGAAGGACCAGCTTGGGGACAGATCGTCATGGAGAAAGTCTATGAGTGCACTGCTGGGAGACCTGAAAGAACAGGTTAAGGATAGATCATGAGAAAATCTATAATGGTTACTAAGAATCGACAACAACTTGATGGCACGTAATCAAATACAGGTAGTCCCTGGGTTAAGAACGTCAGTTTAAGGATGACCCATAGTTAAGAATGGAGCCTATTGTAGCAAAATTCAAGTTAAATACACAATAGTTTGAGTTCATTACACAATATTACTTATACAGTCTTATACAATAATACTGTTCTGGCTTACATACAAATTCAACTTAAGGACAGACCTTGGAATCGGAACTTGTTCTTAAACTGGAGACTATCTGTACTGGCAGGCTGTAAGCTGCTTTTGGCCCTCTCCTGGTGGAAGTGCACACGTATAGGCCACAACCTATCCTCACTTTCCCCTCCAGCTTGGAGTTTGTAAATCATTTTGCCCTATTCTTGCAATTTCCTCCTCCCTGCAGCCTCTCATACCCACCCCCTTCCCCACCGTCCTAATTTCTTCTGCAGATTGAGCATCAGGTCAGATGGTCAAAATTTTGTATAGAAGCCTCCCACCTTCCATGCATAATTACTACTCCTTTGAAAGGAAACACAATGTTTAAAAGGAACAAAAAGAACACTTAGATTTAATATAGGTTTCTGAAACGGTCCAGTAGCTTTGCATTCAGCATACTTTTGCATCAAACTGGTAACCCTTTATCTTTTGTCTCGGCACTCTGGGAGTCATGACCGGTGTTTTCAGAAAAGCTGCATCAGAGATAGGCAATCTTGCCTTCAGAATCATGTCAGAATTTTCAGATTTTTTGCCTCTGGACTATCTTGCAAAGTTATATACAAAATGGGCATCAAATCCTCAAGGGCAGTAAGAGGCAAGTGTTAAAAGTTTCTAAACTGGACCAAGGCTTGGTTCCACTCCCAGAATTTCCCAGCTAGCATCTGGATATCTGACAGTTGCCAAGGTTGAAAAACACTGAAGTATTGGGCCTCCTTGTACCAACTCTGTCTTCTGGAAACCTTCATATTCACTGTCTTAAACACCTTCAATAAAGTCTGAACAACAATCTGCAATAATCTATTACACATGATTTTAGGCCATAACTTGGGAATTAAAATGTATGACAGATTTTTTTTATATATAAAGGGTTTCGCTAAAATTACAGATAACACTTTCTTTTGAAGGACTTTATTCCATCAGCCTGAAACACACATTTTTGCCATTAGAGAACGGGGGAAATCTGTTCAAAATAGAATCTATGCATTCTTTAGTGGATTAAAAAAAACTATATAATAGTAGTCATTTTAACGTCAGTGCTTTGCACTGCAAAATCTACTCTAGAACTGACTGACCACACCATGTCTGCTTTTTGGAAGCCACATCAGTTTGTCTCCGTTCCAGTGGATCATAAAACACAGCAAAACTAGGTTTCCTCTTATTTGTTAGATTTATATCCCACTTTTCCTCCAGAAGCTGGAAGTGGGGTACACAGTGCTCCCTTACATTTTTTCCCCCACAACAACCCTGTGAAGTAGGTTGGGCTGAGGGAAACTGGCCCAAAGTCACCCTGTGAGCTTCCATAGTTTCTAGGCCGAGGGTGGACTAGAACCAGGGCTGCTCAAACTGCTGAACTGCTGGGTCTCTGCAGACCTTGAGCACAGTCCATTTTCCAGTCCCACAGGGTCAGCATCCTGTTCCTGGCGCCTTTTCTTCCTATCCACATTATTTAAAACTTATCGAACCCCACCACCTTGGCAGCATGCAGTCATGCTCATACCTATCTGGAAAAACATCTGTTTCACAAGTGCCAAGCTGCTATCGTTTCACCTCCCTAAGTCACAGGGGCAACTGAGGAATGCAATTCTGCAAGGGGACTGGGAACATTTGGAGAATTTCAGGGCATGCATATATGCATGCATGCATGCATGCATTAATTAATTAATTAATTAATTAATTAATTAAACTTGTATGCCACTCATCTCCCCCAGCGGGTGACTCTGGGTGGCTCACAATAACAAAAAGGTTTTGCTGACGACCTCTAGCGTGGCTTCCCCGTTTAGCAAGTGCCGTCATGATGATGATGATTTTGGCAAGCCATCAGATAAATGCACACAAATACATGTACTGAAAAAATAGGGAGGCGCTAGCCGCTTACTCTTATTACTTCTCAATTGTGTTGCCCTGCTTTGTGGGTGAGCTGGTGAAGCAGGATATAGAGAAGGTCTGATTCTCCCCACTTTCCTATTGCTCCCAGGAAGGAAAGAGGGTGAGCCTTCTCTGGCATGGGTTTCAGTTCGTGGTGGTATTTTTTTTTTAATATTCCCAAACTCGTTATCCTGTCTTTAGATCTGACTTTACAGATTGCACTCCGAGTACACTCTAATTCCATAGGTATGTATGTATGTTTTGTGTGTGTATGTATGTATACATATATATGTATATATATGCCTCTATTTTTCTTATTATTTGTTCATAGTTGTTACAATTTTATTATTTTATTGCTATTAATCGCTGGAGCCCGTGAGGTTTGAGGCGGTGGATAAATTGCATAAACAAAAAATAATTCTCTCCCGCCCCCGATTTCTTTCCATTTGGGAAAGGCGACAAAGTCCAGTAAGTGAAGGAATGGTCAGCATGCAAAAATCGTGAGAGAAACGGACCTTAGCCTTCTTGCCGAGATAATAAAGCTAAAACAACTTTTCTTTGCTAGGGAAATCTCAGGAGAGGTTCTCTCCCCCAGATTCCTCCTCCTTTTCTCCTCTTCGACTCCAAAAGAAAATCCGGCACGTTTCGTAACCTGCCGGGCGAAACTGCTTTAACTGCTTTAACCGCTCGGCTCAGGGGCCATTCCCAAGACAGGAAGAGTTTTCCCCTCTGACGTCAAAAGGGCCAACCAATGACGCTCTTCGCGCCCGAGAAGCAAACGCAGCATCTCTGAGCCAGGCGAACCGGAGGGGCGTGGCTTGCGCTTCTCGTCACGTGCCCCGAAGCCGACACGTAGCGCGTGGCAAGAGCCTTTCGCTCGCGCTCTCTTTCCACCGGAAGCTGCCGCCGCCGAAGGAGGAGATGCTACGTAGTTCCGGCGTGGAGCTGGCGGATGGGGAGTGAGAGAGAGCGAGAGCGAGAGAGCGAAGAGAGAGCGCGACTGGAGGCTGCGCCGGG